CTCGTTACTGCACGTTTCTTTGTTGCCTTTGTTGCTTCACTGAGTGCGGACCCTTGGAAAACCTATACTTGCAATAGGGGACGATGCACCTTGTTTCAGAACAGTCCAACAGTGTTTCGCTGAGCCTGTGGTGCGAACTCTTTAAACAGGGCCAGGGGCAAGCAGCCAACCTGTCCTAGTCCTTCTCGGGTAAACTCATTCCTCGAAGCCCGTCTTGGCTTCCTAATCCTAGGCTCTTTTCAAGGCACCAACCAGGTAACTTCAGTGATCTTCCAATTCGGGGGATAAGAAGGCGCAATTCGAATACGTGCATACAGCGGAAACCCAATGGGGGAACAATGCATGTTTTTCCTTCTACCCTGCTATGCAACCTGGAGGGGATACAGGCAGGGGGATGCAGGCTTGTTTTTTTAGCTGTTTTTCAGCTTCGGCCGGGGCCTTACTTTTGTTGTTGTTTTGCTGGTAGTTGCGCCCTTTGCCTGTGAGCGAACTTCGGGGAACTTTTCTTTACTCCCATGTATAGCCGAGCCCCCTGTGGAAGCATCCACCGGGGGAGAGTCAGTCACCCAGCGGACCGCGGGTGCGCGCTCGCGCGCGGAGGATTCAGCTGGACCGCTGTTTCCTCCAGTCCCGGTAGCGAGAGAGAGAGAGAGAGAGAGAGAGAGAGAGAGAGGTGCATACCGGGGGGGACCCGCACGTACTCGTTACTGCACGTTTTTCTTGTTGCCTTTGTTGCTTCACTGAGTGCGGACCCTCGGAAAACCCATGCCTACAGTAGGGGACGAAGTACCTTTTTTCGGAACAGTCCAACAGTGTTTCGCTGAGCCTGTGGTGCGAACTCTTTAAACAGGGCTAGAGGCATGCACAACCTGTCCTAGCCCTTCTCGGGTAAACTCATCCTTGAAGCCCGTTCTGGCTTCCTAATCCTTGGCTCTTTTCAACGCACCAACCAGGTAACTTCAGTGATCTTCCAATTCGGGGAACAAGAAGGCGCAATTCGGCTACGTACATACAGTGGTAACCCAACCGGGGGAACAATGCATGTTTTTCCTTCTGCCCTGCTATGCAATCTGGAGGGGATACAGGCAGGGGGAACGCAAGCTTCTTTAGCTGTTTTTCAGCTTCGGCCGGGACCTTACTTGTCACTGTTTGCTAGTAGTGCGCCCTGCCTGTGAACGAACCTCGGGGAACTTTTCTGCGCTCTTTGTATAGCCGAGCCCCCTGTGGAACCATCCACCGGGGGAGAGTCAGCCACCCAGCGGACCGCGGGTGCGCGCTCGTGCGCGGAGGATTCAGCTGGACCGCTGTTTCCTCCAGTCCCTGTAGAGAGAGAGAGAGAGAGCTTTGTGTTGCTGCCCTTGTAAAGCCCGGCATGGTTCGTTCGCACAACGAAGTTCCTTTGCTACCCAATATGTCAGGGACGTCTCAGTCTGTGGTAGCCCTCTCTATCTTCTGTATTTGCTTCCGTTTGGTACGTGACGCCCTAGACAACAAGATCTCCCACCGGGGAAAACCTCAAGCTGCTCACATCTCCAAAGTTTCTTTTCATTCAGTCCTACGTCCTTTGTCTTGTTTGGCTTCCTTTCTGCCTTCAATAATTAACAGACAGAGTGCTTGCAGCCGTGTGGAGCGCATGAGTGATGCACTATTTGTCCCCCACAAGTCGGGGGCGCTTAACGCACGCGGTTTAGGGGGCCTGGCCCTCCCCACCCGCATGGACGACCCCCAAGCCCTGCAGAAAGAAAGCAAGAAAGAAAGAGAGAACAATCATGTGCCTCCGTGAAAAAGAGCGAGACCCGGCGAACGAAAGACAGAGAGAGAGACAGACACTTTGTGTGAAACGAAGACTTTGCGTGGTGTGCAGTGAGCTGGGCTTCCATGTGCCAATATGGTGCAACCACTGTTGGCTCGCGAATTGGGTGGCCTCTTCAGGGTGGGCGAGCAAAGCCAACAAACACAAGCGGACGTGAACAAAAACGGAATCCTGGAGCTGATAGCATCGGACATGTTAACAGTCGAAGCTGCGGTGCGCTGCAGTTAGAGCAGGCTGCAGCTCAATGCCAGCCCTCTTATACGAAGACCTTGACGAAATTGACCGAAGGGCCGTGTTTTGGCAGAATGTGCCGCTGCAAGAGTCGCGGGGCGACGTGCAAGGAGCAGGCTCGGCTGCAAGGGGTGCACAATTGGCGGGTAGCTGCCAGGCGCACGTCTGCTTTTAGGCTTATGCGCGCTTGCCATGGTTGGCGACGCCAAGCTTCGGGACCACCTTCGAAGACGAACACAACCAAGTGGAAGTCATCGCCAAAGCGAAATGCCTCAACCAGGAGCTTTGTTGATGCAGGTGTGCTTGCATTTCTGTCTTGCTCTCTCTGTTATTTTTTCTGTTAAGAACAGTCGACCGGTTTTTATCTGTTAAAAAAGTCGACCGGCTGGACGTGGTCATCCTGGTTATGTGGAGCTCCAGCAGTTTGAACTTGCTTGTTGCCCCTCCAACCTGGTAGCCGGCTGTTTGTCCAGATC